CGACCCCGTCTATTCGGGCCCCAGCTAAGAGGCCTCTGCGAAGGCAGAGGAGCAAACAACGACTACGGGGCCCGAACATACACACCACCACCACCCCCCTCGCCCCCTCCCCTGCCCAGGAGAGGGGAGAGGAAGAGGAGGGTAGAGGAGGGAGGGGGACTCGACGTGGTTGTGGTGGTGTGTATTTTTGAGGCCCGCAATGACATAAACATAAAAAGTCGGAGGTCCCAGCATATTTCTCGGATTGGCGCTGGGTCCCCTTCGGCGGCGTCTCCGGCGCCGCCCCTGGCGCGCTCCGCGCGCCAGAGAGGGGGGCCCATCGCCGACCTTTGACGTTTTATGTTTGTGTCATTGCTTATATCCCGGGAGGGCGGGATCCTCGCGCTCTCCTTCGCCTCGGGCCCGTTCTCTCTCGCCCTCCCCCTCCGGGTCCCAGTCGGGGAAACACTCTGCCGCGGTGATTGCTGCCGGCTTCGTGCGAGAGGGCGTCGCAGTAGTTTTTTCCCAACCATCCTGTGGTGTTGGGTCCTCGTTTTGAAGAGAGCGCCCGGCGTTTCTCTCCTTTCCTCCTCTCCTCCTCGCCGCCTCCTTCCTCCCATCCCTGCCTCTGCTCTTCGCGTGTCATCATCATCATCATCATCATCATCATCATCATCATCATCATCATCATCATCATCATCATCATGATCATCATCATCATCATCATCATCATCATCATCAGCATCATCATCATCATCATCGCCATCATCATCATTATTATTATTATTATTATTATCATCATCACCACCACCATCATCATCAGCAACATCATCACCACCACCATCACCACCATCACCATTACCATCACCATTATCTTCATCATCATCATCATCATCATCATAATCATTATTTTTATTACATTACTATTCTTATTGTTGTTATTATTATCATCATATTCTACTTTAACTGTTATCATTAGTATTATATTTCATTGTGATTACTATCATCATCATCAGCAGCAACAGCATCATCATCATCATCATCATCATCATCATCATCATCATCATTCATCATCATCGTCATCGTCATCATGATCAACATCACCATCACTATGACCATCACCATCACCATCACCATCACCATCATCATCATCATCATCATCATCATCATCATCATCATCATCATCATCATCATCATCATCATCATCATCATCATCATCATCATCATCATCATCATCATCATCATCATCATCATCATCATCATCATCATCATCAGCATCAGCATCAGCATCATCATCATCATCATCATCACTATCGAAAGTGCGCCAGTGGATCTCCCTGAATACACTAGAAGGGGTGGTGGGGGGTTCCAGAGCCCCCCCCCCTCCTCGCCCCCTTCAAGGGGGGGGGGTCCAGAACCTCCCCCCCCCCCCCCCCTGAAGGGGGGGGGGGGTGTCCCGACCCCCCGCCCCCCCCTCCCTTGAAGGGGGGGGGGGGTCCGGAACACCTCCCCCACCCTCCCCCCCTTGGCGTTGGAAAGGGGGGGGGGTCGGACCCCCCCCCCCCGTGTAGGGAGTACGGAGTTGGGAGTAGGGAGTGGTGAGTAGTGAGTAGTGAGTTAGTGCGTAGTGGGTAGTGAGCGAGCAGGGAGTACGGAGTAGGGAGTAGGGAGTAGTGAGTAGTGAACAGTGAGTAGTGTGTACTGATTAGAGAGTAGTGAGTGGCGAGTACTGAGTAGTGAGTTGTGAGTAGCGGGTAGCGAGTAGTGAGTACTGAGTAGGGAGTAGGGACTAATGAGTAGTGGGTAGTGAGTTAGTGCGTAGTGAGTAGTGGGTGGCGAGTCGTGATTAGTGAGTAGTGAGTAGTGGGTAGTGCGTAGTGCGTAGTGCGTAGTGAGTAGTGAGTAGTGAGTAGTGAGTAGTGAGTAGTGAGTAGTGAGTAGTGAGTAGCGAGTAGTGAGTAGTGAGTAGTGAGTAGTGAGTAGTGAGTAGTACGTAGTGCGTAGTGAGTAGTGAGTAGTGATGAATATAGAGTAGTGGGTAGTGGCAGTGGGTAGTGAGTAGTGAGTAGCGAGTAGGGAATAGCGAGTAGTGAGTAGCGAGGAGCGAGTAGGGCGTAGTGAGTAGTGAGTAGTGAGTAGAGAGTAGTCAGTTGTGAGTAATGGGTAGTGATTAGTGAGTAGCGAGTAGGGAGTCGCGAGTAGTGAGTAGTGAGTAGTGAGTAGGGAGTAGGGAGTAGGGAGTAGGGAGTAGTGGACAGCGAGTAGCAAGAAGTGGGTAGTGAATAGTGGGTAGTGAGTAGCGATTGGTGAGTCGTGGATAGTGGGTAGTGAGTAGCGACTAGTGACTAGTGACTAGTAAGTTGTGACTAGTGGCTAGAGACTCTGTAGTGACTAGTGAGTAGGGAGTAGTAAGTAGTGAGTATTGAATAGTGAGTAGCGGGAAGTGAGTAGTGAGTATTGAGTAGCGAGTATGGGAGTAGCGAGTAGTGAGTACTGAGTACTGTGTACTCAGTATTGTGTAGGGAGTAATGAGTAGCGAGTACCGAGTAGTGGGTAGTGAGTAGGGAAGTGTGGGCAATGAGTAGTTAGTAGTGAGTAGTGAGTAGCGGATAGTGGGTAGTGGGTAATGAGTAGTGATTTGTGAGTAGTGAGTAGGGAGTAGTGAGTAGTGCTAAGTGAGTAGTGGGTATTGAGTAGTGGGTAGTGAGGGGTCAGTAGTGAGTAGTGAGTTGGGAGGGGAGTAGTGAGTAGGGAGTAGTGAGTAGCGAGTAGTGGGTGGTGGGTAGTGAGTAGTGGATAGTGAGTAGTGAGTCGTGAGTAGTGAGTAGGGGGTAGTGAGAAGGGAATAGCGAACAGCGAGTCGTCAGTAGTGGGTATTGAGTAATGAGTAGTGAGTACTCTTTGGGGCTGGGGTTACTGGTTGGGGTTAGGAATTGGGGTTTGGGTTCGGGTGAGGACTAGGGGTAGGGGTGGCGGGGGTCGGGTTCCGGAGTCAGGGGGCGGCGTGGCGAAAGGGGGGGTCGGACCCCCCCCTCCCATTTTTGAAAGGAGGGGAATGGGGGGGGGGGGTCCCCGACGACGGGTCGGGGAAAGGGGGGGAGGGGGGGGGTCCCCGACGACGGACCCCCGACGGATCGGGGGGGGGGGGGGGTCCTAACCCCCCCCCCCCTTGGGGAGATCCAGCGGCGCACCCTCTAAGCATCATCATCATTATTATTATTATTAGTATTATTATTATTGTTATTATTATTATTATTATTATTATTAATATTATTATTAATGCTATCATTATTACTATTATTAGTATTATTATTATTATTAGTATTATTATTATTATCAGCATCATTAACATCAGCATCAACATCAGCATCAGCATCATCATCATCATCATCATCATCATCATCATCATCAACATCATCATCAGCCACACCCATGTCGGCATACCCCTCACTCGTTTCGTGGCCCCATAGGGAGCTCCACCGAAGGCCCCAGCGGGGGTGCCCGCCTGCGTCCGCCACACCCAGTACAGAGTCTCGCGGCCCCATAAGGAGCTTCACCGCCACACCCAGTACAGCTTTTTGTGGCCCCGTAGGGAGCTCCACCGAAGGCCCCAGTGATGGTGCCCGCACGCGTCCGCCACACCCAGTACAGCGTTTCGTGGCCCCATAGGGAGCTCCACCGAAGACCCCAGTTGGGGTGCCCGCGTGCGTCCGCCACACCCAGTACAGCGTTTCGAGGTCCCATAGGGGGATCCACCGAAGGCCCCAGAGGGGGTGGCCCACCCAAGGCCCCAGCGGGCGCGGCCACATGCGTCCGCCCAGCCCATGTCGGCACACCATTCACACGTTTCGTGCCCCCATATGAAGCTCCACCTAAGGCCCCAGTGGCGACGTTCGCATGCGTACGACCGACTCAGGTCGGCACGCCCTTCACATGTTTCGTAGCCCCATAGGGAGTTCCACCGGAGGCCCCAGCGGCGACGTTCGCATGCACCCCCTCGCCCATTTTGGCACGCCCCTCACACGCTTCGTGGCGCATGGGGAGCGCCACCGAAAGTTCGCATACGACCCACCTATTCGCCCCCCCCTGCCCGAACTGCCCCGCGCCTCGTTCTTCCTGCGGCGCGCCGCCTATGAGAGCAGAGGGTATACCGAGTGCGCTATTCGGTGTTTGCGTGCCCCCTTCCTTCGCCTCATCTTCCTCGCTTTCGCAGCTGCGTATGGTTGGGTCTTTCGTCAAGCTAATTTCGATGTTTAATCAAATTCACAGCGCCGCCACTGAGTGCCTGGGTGCCCACTCTCACAAGCGGCGCGACCACTTCGAACCACTTGTCATGCGCAGTCTGTGATGTGCCGAGGTGGACTCCAACGAGGCGTGATTCATGTGGCGAGACGTCGTATTCCTGCGCTGTTGTGTGAACCTAGTTTTTTTCTTGTGGTGGTGGTGGTGGCTTGTCTCGAATCCACCCGAAGGACCTCGTGGAGCGCTGGGAGGTACTCTTGAACGGCTCAGGGCCTCCTCGTCCCCGTTGTTTGGAATTCTTCCTCCTGCTAAGGGCTTGTTTTGGACGCAACAGCTCGAGGGGGGCCAGCCGTACCCCTCAATGTAGAGCGCCGTGGTTAATCTATCTCGAGGAGTTCTTTGACCGATATGCTGCTGCCGTTTTCTTCACGATGGGCTGGAGCAGGCTCTCCCCATTTCTACTGGATAGCGACCTCAATGCTCAGCACTCCCTTACCCTCCCCCCCCCGCGTCGGTAAAGAAACTCGTAAGGGAAGGTACGCTAAGGGTTCTTGAAGCGAGGGGCGGCTGAGAAATACCGGGTCCCGAGGCCACCAGGTTGTGTATTGATGTGGTTAACCGTACCTTTCGGTCCAAGAAGTTTTCGGCCCGCTAGAAAAGAATGATCTGATGCATCACCTGCCAAGGAATATGGACTATGTCCAGGGCTCGCGAGGCGGGCCACGAGGTCCAAGACATCTGCCTGCTCTGCCATGCCGCTGGAGACACGTTGTATCACCGCCTCCTGCCCTGCTGTTTCAGAAGCTCGTGATGACGACTGTCCAGTTGAGTTTCAGTCTGATGTGAAGGACACCGTCGAGGAGCAGAATCGTGCTTTTTTCGAATTGGTGCCAGGGCTGCACGCTCATCCCGCTGAATGCCACCCTCCTGTGGCCGACTCGGGACATGACGAGGACAGGAGCTCTTCCAGATTTTTCCCTGGTGGGTTCGAGGCAGAGGGATTGGATGTTCCTCCCGGGGACTCCACGGCGCTCAGGGGGCATGTTTTTCTGGACGAATCGTGATCCAGAGTAGCAGCTCAAGAGTGAAATCGGACTGGGTGGGGTCGGCAACGATGCTGCCGACCGCTCTGCTCGCCTTGGCGCGGAGTCTCACCCTACAGTTGGCCAATCAAAGTTGGAGCCCCTCGATCTTTCGCCGAAGCCAGCCAATGTTGTTTGCCACCTCGCTGCCGACCTGTTTCCATGGCCCACGTGCGACCTCTCTGGTGCTCAGTGGTTTAGCCCTGTGGAGAGGCGCCAGCTAGCGTTTTTCGCGGCCCACCAGTGGCTGGGAATGGGCCCTCCTGTTGGGCTCCAGCGTTTTTGGCAGTGTCAGGCGTGTTAGCGTACTTCCAGGAGCGAAGGCCTCGTCGAACCCCCCTGGTCACTGCAAGCAGCCCCCCAAGATTTGCATGCAAACCTTCCGCAGCCATTTTGGCCCAATTGCCTTGTAAATGGAGATTGCAGTTCTTGGCGCGTCGATCGATGATGGCAACACAGTTCTGCATTATCTGTGTCGCTGTGTTTGTTTTGAGAGCAGAAGCAGCCACCACATCAGATGATGGGATATCCAACCTGCCTCACATTTTTCTAGTTGTTGTCGATGACTTCGGATGGGCTGAAGTAGGGTACCATCGTGACACACCCACAAAAGAAGTTCAAACCCCACACATTGATGGCTTAGTGAGAGAGGGAGTCGAGCTGAACAGGCATTATGTGCACATGATGTGCACTCCATCGCGTGCTTCGCTGCAGAGTGGCCGCCTTCCTGTCCATGTCCTCACCGAACTAGCTGGACCTTGCGATGAAAACGGTGCCATCCCTCGAAACATGACGGGTCTTGCTTCGGTGCTCAAGCGAGCCGGTTATGAAACGCACCAAGTTGGTAAATGGGACGCCGGAATGGCCACACCACATCACATACCCAAAGGGCGTGGCTACGATACATCACTCACATATTTCAGCCACGGCAATTGGATGTGGACAGAAAAAGAGTGGTTGGGGTCTTACGGACATAAGAAGACAATACCAACCGCAGAAAATTAGCAAAAACATGGTATTGTTGATTTCTGGGACACAGACCGCCCCGCAAGCCATCTCAATGGCACGGGTTACGAGGAGTATATTTTCCGGGACCGCATGCTTAACATTTTGCATGCACATGATCAGTCCAAGCTTTTATTTCTGCAGTACGACAGCAAGTTGTGCCACTACCCGATGCAGGCGCCGCAGGAGTACCAGGACCGTTTCAAATATATTGATGATGATAATCGCCGTGTGTATCATGCCATGGTAAGCTTTTTAGACGACCAGTTGGGCAATATAACCAATTCGATGAAGAACTTGGGCATGTGGGATAAGACGCTCATGATTCTGACCAGTGATAATGGAGGATATGTTAAAAATCCCAATGGTCCATGCAACACAACTAGCTCATCTTGGTTTGGGACTGGAGAGGACACGGACACTGGCCATGGAACTGCGTGTGACAATGGTGAGGCTGGTGCTAACAACTACCCATTGCGTGGTGGAAAGTACAGCAACTTTGAGGGTGGCATTCGTGTGAACGCCTTTGCCAGTGGCGGTTACTTGCCCACGGCGGTAAGGGGCTCAAAACTTGAAGGCATCATTCACATTGCTGATTGGTACCTGACGCTAAGTGAGGGCATAGCTGGGCTTGACCCAACTGATCATTGGGCTGCTGAGTCTGGCCTTCCCCCCATTGACTCCCTCGATGTATGGCCAATGCTCAGCGGACGCAATCTGACATCTCCACGTGACAGCTTCCTAGTCACTGCCAACATGATCGTTGTTGGGGAATGGAAGTATGTGAAGGGTGGTACAAATATGATTGAAGCAGCTTACGGCGGACCTCATTATCCCAATGCTTCGATTGCTACCGACTCAATCGATAAGTATTCTTTCAACTGCCCAGTTCAGGGGTGCTTGTACAATGTTGTTCAAGATCCACGCGAAGAAACTGAGGCCAGCGCACGTCATCCACACGTGGTTGCGACTATGAGAACCGAGCTGGAACGTCAGGCAAAAGCCATATGGCGCCAGTCGCACAGGAACAGCCCGAAGTGCAAGCAGGCGGCTTGGCAGCTCTACAATGGTTTCTATGGACCTTCAAAGAAGTTGATTGGCCACGCGCAGCAAGGTCTGAAGAAGAGCGGTACGTGTGAAGAGGATCTGATTCTTGGCAGATGCAGCTTGTGGTGTGTGGCGGAGGCATCAGCTCTTGAGGGCTCCGAGTGCTAGGTGAAAGTTTGAACGCCGTGCATTTCAGCCCACCCTCAGGTCTTGCCAGCAGGCGCATTCGGCTTTGCACTGCCTCGAGAGTCGGCCGAGGCGCGTTCCAGATCGAGCTTCGAGGCGGATGCGGCTGTGACCTTGAGGGCGCCGCAGGCGCCCAAAGCCTGAAACAAAGATATTTGCATTCAAACCGTGAGGGGCCTGAACCACCTGTGTTTTGGTTGACCGCTCTCACGTGGAAAGAGTCAGGAACCACCCTGCTTTCTGACACTTTCAGTGTGCTTTCGGCATGCAGCGTAGCGGTCGTGATGAAAATTGTCTTGGCGAAGGACCCAACCATATGCAGCTGAGAGTAACGCGTTGTATGTGCCGCTTCAGGTGGGCCACGTAACGCGAGATGAGGCGTGCCGTAATGGGTGGGGTGAAGCATGCGGGCGGTCCCACTGGGGCCTTCGGAGGAGCTCCCTGTTGGGCCACGACGCGGTGTAGTGGGTTGTGGAGACGCATGCGGGCGGTGCCACTGGGGCCTTCGGTGGAGCCCCCAGATGGGGCCACGACACGCTGTACTGGGTGGGGGGGGACGCCTGCGGGCACCCCCACTGGGGCCTTCGGTAGAGCTCCCTATGGGGCCATGAAGCGCTGTAATGGGTGTGGCGGGCGCATGCGGACACCCCCACTGGGTCCTTCGGTGGAGCTCCCTATGGGGCCACGCAGCGCTGTACTGGATGTGGCGGACGCATGCGGGCACCCCATTGGGGCCTTCGGTAGAGCTCCCTACGGGGCCACGACATGCTGTACAGACTGGGTATGGTGGACGCATGCGGGCACCCCCACTGGGGCCTTCGGTGGAGCTCCCTGTGGGGCCACAAAACGCTGTACTGGGTGTGGCGCGCATGCTGGCGGTCCCACTGGGGCCTTCGGTGGAGCTCCCCATGGGGCCACGAAGCGCTGTAATGGGTGTGGCGGGCGCATGCGGGCACCCCCACTGGGTCCTTCGGTGGAGCTCCCTATGGGGCCACGCAGCGCTGTACTGGGTGTGGCGGACGCATGCGGGCACCCCCGCTGGGCCCTTCGGTAACGCTGTACGGACTGGGTATGGCGGACGCTTGCGGGCACCCCCGCTGGGGCCTTCGGTGGAGCTCCCTATGGGGCCACGAAGCGCTTTACTGGGTGTGGCGGGCGCATGCGGGCACCCCCACTGGGGCCTTCGGTGAAGCTCCATATGAGGCCGCGAAGCGCTGTACTGGGTGTGGCGGACGCCTGCGGGCACCCCCACTGGGTCCTTCGGTGGAGCTCCCTATGGGGTCACGAAACGCTGTACTGGGTGTGGCGGACGCATGCGGGCACCCCCACTGAGGCCTTCGGTGGAGCTCCCCATGGGGCCACGAAGCGTTGTACTGGGTGTGGCGGACGCATGCGGGCACCCCCACTGGGGCCTTCGGTGGAGCTCCCTATGGGGCCACGCAGCGCTGTACTGGGTGTGGCGGGCGCATGCGGGCACCCCCACTGGGGCCTTGGGTGGAGCTCCCTATGGGCCACGCAGCGCTGTACTGGGTGTGGCGGACGCCTGCGGGCACCCGCATTGGGGCCTTCGGTAGAGCTCCCTATGGGGCCACGAAATGCTGTACAGACTGGGTGTGGCGGACGCCTGCGGGCACCCCCTATCGGGGCCTTCGGTAGAGCTCCCTACGGGGCCACGACATGCTGTACAGACTGGGTATGGCGGACGCATGCGGGCACCCCCACTGGGGCCTTCGGTGGAGCTCCCTATAGGGCCACGAAACCTGTGAGGGGTGTGCCAAAGTGAGGGGGCTGACGGGAGGAGGAAGGAGGGGGGGAAGAGGAGGAGAGGAGGAACGCGGGGACCGTCTCTTCAAAACGAGGACCCAACACCACAGGATGGTTGGGAACAATCTCCCTGCCTCCACTCCTCCCTGCCTCCCCGTCCAACTCCCGTTCTACCCTCCCTCCCGCTCTCCCCGTCCCCGCCTCTCATCCCGCTCCACCTCCTCTCCATCCCCTCTCTCCTCCTTTTCCCGCAGCGCTCACTGAGGGAAAACTGGCCATTCCACTGCAGGGATCGAGGCCAGGTGGGATTGGCTCACCAACAACCTGGGGTTGGCTCAGAGGGATGGTCATGCATGGACAGCGTGTACGAGTCGTCGCCGTGTCCCTGCTCCCCACGGCTGCTACCGTAGTGACGGCAGCCCCTCTTCCCCTGCCGAGCACGGCATACAGCCTTGGCTCTCCTCCCCCCCCCTCGTCCTTCGGAGGCCCCCAGCCGGTGCGGTGACCACCGTGCGGTGTGACAAGTGGGCAGCGGGGATTCGGGGTGGCCGCACGGCTTTGGGGCTTCCGTCGCTCTCCGACGACTGTCTCTGGCGACGGGGGCCCCCGAGGTGCCCACGCAGTGCGGCGGCGGCTGGGGGTTCCGAGGTCACCGCACATCGGCGGCGAGAGAGGGGGGGAAGTGAGAAGGAGGAGGCCTTCTCAGAAGGCGGCGGGACTTCTCGGATGCCCTCGCGCCTTCCGAGAAGGTTTTCTTTCGTCTTCGGGGGTTGGCCGAGAAAGCTTCTCCGAAGGCCAGGGGACTTCCGAGCCTTCTGAGAAGGCCTTCTCCTTCTCACTTCCCCCCCTCGCCCGCCGCCGAACAGAACACAGGATGCTCCTCTGAACATCCTCATCTCCTTTATTAACGAGCTCTGCTTTCGTTGGCTACACGTTCAATCACACTCGAGGTCCACCCCTCTCTGCCGCCGCCCCGTCGCTCCGCCTCCTCCGCTTCCCGCTCCGCGGCGCGGCGGGGCTTGACGGCGCGAGGCGGCGCTCGGCCCAGCTGCCGGGCCCCCCCACGTGGTGTCTTCTCCGTCCGTTCTCCCGCCTCGCTGGCGGCTGCCGCGCAGGACAGACTGGGAGAGGGTCTCGTCGAAGCTGCTGAACAAGGCGCCGGCAGCATTTGGGGCAGCGACGAGCGTACGCCAGAGCAGCAGCAGGACGGACCGGGAGAGCAGGGCCAGGCAGGGAGGGAGGGAGAGGGTCTCGTCGAAGCTGCTGAACAAGGCGCCGGCAGCATTTGGGGCAGCGACGAGCGTACGCCAGAGCAGCAGCAGGACGGACCGGGAGAGCAGGGCCAGGCAGGGAGGGAGGGAGAGGGTCTCGTCGAAGCTGCTGAACAAGGCGCCGGCAGCATTTGGGGCAGCGACGAGCGTACGCCAGAGCAGCAGCAGGACGGACCGAGAGAGCAGGGCCAGGCAGGGAGGGAGGGAGAGGGTCTCGTCGAAGCTGCTGAACAAGGCGCCAAGAGCGTTTGGAGCAGTGGCGAGCGTACGCCAGAGCAGCAGCAGGACGGACCCGGAGAGGAGGGCCAGGCAGGGAGGAAGGGCGGGAGGCGCGGGAGGCGTAGGAGTGTAAGGCGGCAGGGCTCTGGCCCACCGCCTCGAGAATCGAGTCTCTATGGCGCGGGGGCCGCAGGGCACGCGCATCATGCTCGACCATGCCCTCCCCGTGGCAGCAGATCAGTCCGACCGCGAGTGTAGGTGCTCGGTCCGATGGGTGCAAGAGTGGGTGTGTTGGTGTTCGATCTGAGCTAGTTAGGGTCTCCACTGACCTGGGACTGTCCAGCCACATCTCGACTTGTTTTTATTAGCGATGGATTATGTTCCATGATTCTTCGGCTCATCGAGGGCGCTAGAGTCGGTCTTCTCGGAGGCTGGTGTTCTGCAAGTGCTATGCAGCGCCGTGCCGTGGTTGATCGAGCCGGCTGGCAATCATGCGGTCCGCTGGTGCCGTGCCGAGCCGTGCTGTGTTTTGTTGCATCGAGCTTGCTTCTGAGCAATCTGGTGGCCCGCCAGTGCCGCGCCGTGCCGCTGGTGCAGTGCCGTGACGTCCCGTGGTGCGCTGATCGTAAAGGCGTTTTGTTTTGCTGGGGCTGGAGGAGGCCTTTTTGGCTCTTTGGTGGCTCGGTGGCGCCGTGCGGCTGGCCGAGCCGTTGCTGCTGCTGGCGCCGTGCCGTGCTGCCGTGCCCCGCCGTGTTCTCCTCTTCCCCGCCTCCAGCCCGCGGGCGGCCGAAGCGTGACCAGGGGGCTCGGCGCTTCACGGGGGGCCTGGGGCCAGGGGGTGAGAACACGATCGTGCCAGCCCCGCCAGGACCTCCTCGTGCAGGCCTTCCGGGTGCCGTGCCGTGGGTCGGCGGCGAGCGAGCGGGGGAAGTGAGAAGGAAAAGACCTTGCGAGAACGCAGCGGGACTTCTCAGAAGCCCCGCGCCTTCTGAGCAGTTTTCTGTGCCTTCCGGGAAGGCTCAGAAATTTGCTTACGCTTCGTGTATCCCCACCAGACAGGCAGGTCTTCGACGTCACCTCGGTAGCATAGCTGACCCAGCTTGCACACCGTTGGTGCGGCCCTGGACTTGGCGCCCCGCTGGCGACTCGTTCATCGTTCACCTTGCCTGTGCGTCCTCCCAGTGTGTGAAGGCTTACTTTTGTCAGACTGCATGTGCCTGAGCTTCCCTGGACGCCCTCAGCCTGTCAGCTTTCCCGCGCAGCCCCGCGGCTGCCTGGTGAGTGGGCCGGCCGGCCTGCGGCGCTTTTAGTAGCTAATTAGGCCGTTGCCGTGCCCCGGGACGCTTCTGACTCCTGCGCTTTCGCTGGCGGACGCGACCGAAAAAGTATCCCCACCAGCCGTTGCATGCCTGCACCCTGGCAGTGCTGCTCCTCAGTTTACCGCCAGCCTTTTCCCACTCGCCGGCCCGGCCGCTGAGGTGCTGCGTGAGGCTCCGGCTCACCGCTTTAGAGGTTAATTCGTCTTTGCGCGCCCCGCTCTGACTGGACTCGCCGCTGGCGCGTTCGCCTGCGGCTGCTGACTAAAAAAGTATCCCCACCAGCCCCGCGGCCCCCGCCGTCGCGTCCCCCCCTCGCACGGACGTCCGCCTTCATCGCGCTCGCGGTCTCACGGCCCCCTTTCGGCGATCCGGAGTCTTCCGTTGAGCGCCTGCACGGTTCGCCCTCCTCGTGCACGTGACGGTGGTCGTCGGCCCTTTCGACTACGCGGTGGTGGTCTTCGGGAACCAAGGCTCGACCTACCTCGACATTTTGGCGCTGCGCGCGGACCCAGAACACCTCCTGGTCTTCTTCGTCGGCGTTGGCGTTCCACGTGGACCTGATCCTCAGCGTCCTCTTCGCCTTCTGATTCGCAGCGTAGTTCGCTCCTCCGCGCATGGTGCTTGATTTAGATCGTAGCGCTGTTGCTTCGCTCTTTGACGGCGCGCGGTTGCTCCGCATCGTTCGCGGACAAAAAAAGTACCCCCAACAGCCCA